CCATGAGGGGGCCTCCTCTTTAAGAAGAGTAAGGCAGAAGCCGGGTAGTCACCACCTTTAATCCCAGCACTTGGGAGGCAGACTGTGAGTTTGAGGCTGGCCTGGTCTACAAGAGCTAGTTCCAGGGCAGGCACCAAAGCTACAGAGAAACCCTGTATCAAACAAACAAAACAAAACAAAAATCCCAACAAGTAAACAAATAAAAACCAACCTACCTTGCTCCCTGTCAAACCATAAAAAAGCTGTGACTTCCTGGTAGACACATACACACACACACACACACACACACACACACACACACACACACACGCATGTATGTCCTCTAGCCCCTCTAAGTGCACTCTGTGCACTTAGATCCACCACCGCCCAGTCAGTAGGTCGTTTTTGATACCCAGGCACACGGTTTCTACAGATGGAGCAAAATGGTCAGGATAGAGCAATTTTTTATGGCTAGGTGCTATCACCTAAAAGAGCCTGACTCAATTCATCATGACCTGAGGCTATTACCCAACATCCCTCACACAAGAGTTCCCAACACAGGCCCAAAGCAGTAGGGCCAGGAGACCATGATCTAAAATCATTATATCTATAAACTAAACTAAATGAGGTTTTGCTTGAACCCTATGTGGCATACTTAGGTCCTAATTTTGTTCTCACCTTTATTTTTTACATTTTGACCAACCATAGATAAAATTATATATACATATATATATTGTATATATCATATAAAAATATATAATAGCAGCATAATAAACCCAGCAATTGATTATGAGTCAGTTGAATACAAATCACATTTGTAACATAACAAATTAAGATCATGGGTCCATATATTGCTAAATAAACTTCCTGTCTGTGGCAGATCTTAGGCACACTTTATTGTTGCTTAGTTTTAAAAGGAATATTTCATACATTCCACTCTTGGTCTCACAGATTCCTGGGAGTTTAGTATTACACAGCAGTGAGAGCTGGCCAAGGGAACAGAATTTCCAATGACCTTGGACAGCAAACCATCTTGTTCAGAGCAAGAAAGCAGATAGGAGACAAATGTGCAAATGTTACAAAAGGCATTGCCTCCCTGAAGAGGGGAGGAGACAGTAAGGGGCTACCCTGTTTTGTTCATAGTGACACAAAGACAGAGAGATTTGCCATAACATGGCCCAAGGGACTGTTACCAGGAATGGAAGTTATGGCACCTCCTGTCGGTCAGAGATCTGACAGGGCAGACCAACACAGAAAGGAACTTTTAAATCAGAGGTCAATCGAGCCTTGTAGCAGGTCCCCACCCCTTAGCGCAACTGACGTCATGATGGAAGTACCATTCATTCCGGCCATAAACCTCAGCATGTAGACAGCATCACCTGTCAAAAAAAAAAAAGCAAAGTCCTAGTCCATCAAAGTCCTTAGCTCTGGGAAAGTCTCTAAATGCACTAACCTGCTTTTTGGCTTCTGTAGTTATACATCTGTCCAACTATTCTTTCCTGTTTCTTTATTGTTGTGTTTGTTTGTTTGTTTATTTGTTTTTCAGGACAGGGTTTCTCTGTATAATAGCTCTTGGCTGTCTCAGAACTCACTCTGTAAACCAGGCTAGCCTCAAACTCACAGAAATCCGCCTGCCTCCACCTCCCAAGTGTTGATACTAAAGCATGCACCACCACTGCCCATCTCTGGGTAACTATTCTTTCTAACTGACATATATCAACCCAGGATATGATTTGTGTGTTTGTGTGTGTGCTTAAAAGCCTGTGAAAGGCTTGGGATCCCAAACATCCACTGTAGGCATGAGCCACCTAATAAAGACTTTCTATTGACTTAAACCTGTGTCTCAGTAGTCTTCTCTGATGGATACTCCACAGCACCATAACCTGGGAATGAAAACAGACTAGAAAAAAAAAACATAAAACCATTTAAAAACCATAGTCTAGCTGGGCGACGGTAACACACACCTTTAATCCCAGCACTCAGGATGCCGAAGCAGGCAAATCTCTGAGTTCGAGGCCAGCCTTATCTACAGAGCGAGTTCCAGGACAGGCTCCAAAGCTACAGAGAAACCCTGTCTTGAAAAACAACAAAAACCATAGTCCATCTGGGTATAACAGCTCAGGACTTTAATTCCAACACTCAGGAGGCAAAGGTGAGGGGATCTCTGCGAGGTCCATGCTAATCTAGTCTACATAATGAGTTTCAAGACAACCAGACCGATATAGTGAGACTCTGGGGGGTGGGGAGTCCAAACAAACCTTAAACCAGAATCAAGTCTTAATGCAAAGTGATTCAATTTGCTAGATAAAATTGAGGGAGGGCTCCCTGGGAGCCAGGAAGAACTGACTGCTGTTTCCCAGTGCCCCCCTCCTTATCCCCAGCGGGTAGACAGCCAACACTAGGCTATGTAACAGGAGTACCAGAATTAGTGATAACTGCCACTCAGAAGCCAATCACCAGGGACAGGGATCGAATCTTCAAAATTATGGTTTATTCACAGTCAGAGATCAGAGAAGGCAGTGGATTAACACTTTAAATGGGGTTGGGGGCTGGAGAGGTGGCTCCGTGGTTAAGGGTACCGGCTGCTCTCACAGAGGACAGGGGTTCAGTTCCCAGCACCCACAGCATGGCTCAAAATCATCAATAAATCCAGTTCCTGGGAATCCTATACCTTTTTCTGCCCTCCACTGTTGTGAGGTAATTCCACCGGAGAACACACACAGACACTCTGAAAGTTGACTACAAAGTCTGTATTACTGGCCAGCAGCTGCACGGGGAACTTGCCCAAATCATGCAGCCCCAATCCTCACAGTCCTTTGTCTCTCTTATACAAAAATAAATAAATAAATAGATAGATAGATAGATAGATAGATAGATAGATAGATAGATAGATAGATAAATCACATCCTGGTCAACACACTTCAGTTAGTAAGAAGCAAAACTACAGAAGTCAGAAAGCAAGATTAGGACATTTAAGGACTTGCCTGGATCCTGGAACTATATGGGTCAGGTCTTTGATGGATGAGGTCTTTGTTCCCATGTGGGTAGGTGATGGGACCTACGTGCTGGATTTTACAATCAGAATGGTGCCTCTAACATGGTATTAGTTGTGCTAAGGTCTGAGGGCTTGTTACACCATGGGCACCAGGCACACACATACAGGCAAAACACTCACACATGTAAAATAAATCTATTGAAAAGATTTTGAGCTACCTTGTATCTCATCTCCAACCAACAAATTGTAAGGGGGTAAGAGAACAAACAAGCACTGTCCACTTTTCCAGAGCTCAGTCCTGCCCCTCCAGCGAGTGGATCAGCCACCTTTTCTGGTTCTTTCTTTTGATGGAATCACTGGTTGACTGATTGTTGGGGGTGTGAGTTGGTTGGTTGATGCTTTTGGTTGGTTGTCGGAGTTATGTGGCTATGAGTCTATATGCACACAGGCAGGGGTACATACGTATGTGCACGTGGTGGCTGAAAGAAGGCACCGAGTATCCTCAACTGCCATTCTCTGCGTACTCCTTGAGGCAAAGTCTTTCTCCAGACTGAGAGCTCCCGTTATCTTGGTTAGACAAGAAGTCAGAAAGACCCAGTGATCTCCTGTCTCCACTTCCCTCAGAACTGGGGAGCTGGGCATGGTGGCTCACACCTCTAATCCCAAGACTGGGGAAACAGACGTAGACAAATCTCTATGAGTTCGAGGCCAGGCATGGACCTTCATCCTCAGAGGCATCTTGCTGTCCCTCTTAATTGCACTTGTGAATCTCTGAGCTTGAGGAATAACTCTTCTGATGGCACCCCCAGTTACCAAGATATCGCAGCCTCTGAATTCAGTGAAGCCTTCAAGATATGGCTAGGATCCGTACACAGTGGTACCTCCCAATTCTTGGGAGGTGAAGGCAAGAGGATCATGGGTTCAAAGCCAGCCTCCACTACAAGGTGAGTTTATCGGTCAGTCTGAGTTGCATGAGACCCTGTGGCAAAATGACGATGATGGTAATGATAACCAATACCTGGGAGATGGTTCAGTGGTAAAGGTGAGAGGGCTGGGGAGCCAGACCAGACCATGACAACAGGCTTCTAATAGACCCTGCCGGGGAGGGGGGGAACCAATCAACAGGTGCCCTTTGACCTTCTGTGGGCTCAGCAGATGCCCAGTCTCCTGATAACTAAAGACGGCTTTTCCTACCCTGCTGTTGGAAAGTCTCTAACCACTAGGCCCTTAATCAGCCCCCCAGACTAATCTTTTCTCCACCAATCAGCCCCAAATTAATCCCTCCTTCCTGAAATTCCCCTACCCCCATTTAAAAGGAGCTTGCGACCTTCTTTAGGGGGTGGCCATTTGCCACCCCAATATGTTGACAGTTTTTTAATGTTAATAAAGTGCTCTTGTTTATTGTAACTGTTGGCCTTTTCTTTTCAGATCCTAACAAAAGCGCTTGCCATGCAACCTTGATGTCTTGAGGTGATCCCTGGGACCCACATAAAAGTAGAAAGAGAACAGACTTAACGATGTTTGTTCTTTGAGGTCCACAAGGACACACTCTCACACTCTCACTCTCTCTCTCTCACGCACGCACGCACACCAAAATAAAATTAAACAAGCTGGAAAAATGACTTAGTGGCAACTGCTCTTGTAGAAGACCGGGGTTCAGATCCCAGCACCCCATGTGTAATTCCAGTTCCAAGGAACCTGACACCCTTTTCTGGCCTCCACAAGATACGCGCATACATGCAAGCAAGTAAGCATTCATACACATAAATTTTAAAAAGTTTTAAACTAAAATTAAGAAAAACAAAAAACTCTAGCACAACAAAATCGTAAGCAGAGCGAGGGCTGTCTGACATCCTCCCCCACCCCCACCCCCACCCCACCTGCCCCTTGAGTACGAGCTCTTCCGGTTCTGACCACGTGGGGCGCTCTAAGCAGCACTCCCAGCACCCTCCACGGCAGTCCCGGGATGAATGGGAAGACACGCCCCTAGCGCGCGTGCGCACTCTCGGGATCTCCCAGTCCCGGACGCCGGCGCGTGCGCACCGTCGGCTTAACTCCGGCGGTGGGCGGCGCCGTGCGCATCCGAGCACCATGGAGGATTACCCGGGTCAGCTGCGCGGCAGTCCGGGCCGCACCGAGAGGCTGAATGAGCGGCTGCTGGACGAGTTCGTGGCGCTGCACGGTCCCGCGCTGCGCGCCTCGGGCGTCCCGGAGCGGCTGTGGGGCAGCCTCCTGCACAAGCTGGAGCACGAGGTACGGGGCAGCGCGGGCTGCGGGCGGGTTATGCAGACGATTGGGGAACGCAGCCCAGCGGCTCCCAAGGGCTCACTTACGGGCTCCGGACTGGTGTGTGTCTGGGAGTCATAGGGCGACAGGCCGAGAGATGCACCTGTGCTGCCATCCTACAGGTTCTGGATCCTGCCAAGGATGAGCTGGGATCTGCAGACTGACATGCACTTGGCTCTCGGCGTCCCAGCACCTCGGCTGCGGCGTATAGATTAACAGTTGCTTCCCAGGGCTCGAGTCGGCGGTCACACCCTTTGTAAACTAAGGAGGCCCGGCGAGATGGAGAAGACGCTAAGAGAGAGTGAAAAGTGTTCTCTTTCAAAGATGAGGGAGTAGCTCTATCTTTTCACCTGAACTAGGTAGGGGTTGTACGGCCTCTGCTGTCTGAAAACTGGGCCGTGGGTTTGGGTGTTGAAAACAGTAGCGGCTGGGCTGGGCGGAGGGTCTTTTCCGAAGCTAGAGCTTGGCGTCACTTCAGGACACCGCTTCCCACCCGAAACCCACTAAAGCTGCAGGTGATCAGGAGAGGCCAAGTACTAGGAGTCCCGAGTCTTGCTATGGGGCCGACTCACCCTCTTTGATCCAGTTCCACGCTGTATATGGGCCAGATAGTTACTGCTCAAAGCCTGTACATAGGGCTGTGGCGCAGCTCACTGTGTGGAGTGTTTACCTAGCCTTAATGGGAGGTTGCTCCCTAGTCCTATGGGAAGGGAGGTGCAATACGTTCAGCTGGCTAGAGATGGAATGTGTTCTGAGGCTCCCAGTCTACCTAGACAGCAGAGCAAAGCGACTGCACTGACCTGTGTGGTTGGTCGGGGTATTAAATGCTTTTTCCACTTTCAGTATGATTTTCAGGCGTTACCATGGTCGTAGATTGAGGCTCATTGTGAGTGTACTTCATATAACTGGGTGGTTCCCTCAACTCATGTGCTGGGCCCTCCCGTTTGGCCACTTTCTGCAGACTTGCCTTAATCCCAGGCCAATGCTGAGGTAGAACCTGGGCCCCATCTGTTAGTGGTGCTGCCTGAAAGGACTGTTTCGGGAATGCCCTGGGGTCCAACTCTGCCAACCTCCAAGGGCACCCTCACTTGGACAGGTGACTCCCCACCTAAGCCATGTCTCACTTGGAAAGCAGGGATGAAGAAACAACACAAGCAGGGGGGGGGGGATACATGGGGGGATGGTAACAAATGAACTCCAGCATATGTCCTGTGCCTTCTCACGTAGGCTTCTGTGGCCTAGCCAGGGACAGCCATTGTTTTGAGTTGTTTGGTTTTTTTTTTTTTTTTTGGTCCCAGGCCCTACTGAGCCTTTCCAGACAAAGCTGAGTCACCACAGTGAGACCTGCCACCAGACCCAGAGGTCAGCAGAACTGTGTACCTGCCTGCAGAGAGCCTCCCTCCCCCACCAAGCATTCAGCCTTGGTTCCTTGCCTTGATCAGTTCCACAGAAAAGACACGAGGTGTGTTTAAAAACACCCTCCCTCCCACTTGGAGGACCATCCACAGCTGTTGCCTCCCTAGGGGTCACAGCCAAAAGGCAGGGTTGGTCCCTGCATGCCCCCAGTGTAGCGTAGAGTCAGGCAAGGGGCTGGAGATTGAAACATACACAGGGGTAACACCAAGAATGCTCCCTTTATGAGTTCCAGGGCAGCTTATATAGGGTCTCCTTGACTAATGGCCATGCCCTAACTCTCAGCTGCAAGCCCACCAGAAACCACTCCCCTGCCATCAGGAACTCCTGAAGATCTTGGGCTCAGAGCAGCTGCAAGCATAGGAAAACAAGCTGTTTACTCCAGCAGGCAGGGGGTCCACAGTCCCCCAACACCCCAGCAGAGGAAAAGCCAAGCCAGGCTTCAGGTTAGAAAGTTTGGGGTGAAAGCCAGGGAGTTAGAGGACCTATGATACCTGAGGTATGGGTTCCAGCCCCCCAGTTTTAAATGAGGGCAAACCTCCCCCAACCCAAGGCCGCTTCAGGGATCAAAAGAGGACTTGGTTGAGACCCTGCCCTTGTTCTTCATCTAGAACTTCCCTTATCTTCTGGTTGGCCTGCCAGACTCCACTCTGGAGTACGGCAGCCTCCCCGCTCCCCCCCCCCCAACATTTTTGTATATTAACTCTGTGTGTGTGTTTGCACGCATGTGTGTGCATGCACATACCTGGAGGTCAGAAGACAACTTTTAGAAGTTGGTTCCACCATGAGATATCAGTGAACAAACTCAGATCATCAAGCTTGGTCACAGTCACCATTACCCTAGAGCCATCTCACCAGTGGTTCCCCCCACCCCCACCCCATGCCTTTCCCTTCCCTGCCTGTGGTTACTTCTCTCCCTCCTCTCCACACCCTAGAACTGCAGGCCTGAATCTTTCCCCACGGGCTCCCTCCCATAGCTTCCCAGGTCCGGAGGAGTTAAAAAGAGTCTAGCCCTCATGTCCCTGCAGAGAGCCCCCCTTGTTTCTGGCCTCACGGAGCGTGTCTGTGCCTGAGAAGGTTGTAGCTGCCCCAGAGTGGTAGAGGTTGGAGGGATGGTCTTGCCTGCTGCGTCCCTTTCCATCTGGTTCTTGCAGCTGGCCTAGCCTGTAAGAGCCTTTGCCGCAACCCAGGCCCTATTCCGTGTCTTGCTTTGTGTTAGTAATTTAAACTGCCCAACAAACCCAGACCTTCCCGCCATACAGATGGGGGAAACCAAGTCACAGAGGATTTGAACTAACTTTTCCAGGATTATTGGGGACCAGCCTCGACAAAAATACCACTCGCCGGTTGTATGGACATTGGGATTTAGAAATACTAATAAAGAATATGAAGACACGAAAATAATAAGACAGAAAAACATAGAATAGTACTGGGAGAGAGTTCCAGTGAACATCGAAATCACCACGTTTCATTTCTGACTGCTTAAAATACCCCGACCCCAAAAGGTAGGAGTAAGGCTAAAATCTGCATTAGCATGATACAAGGAAATGTGCAGACAAATTGAAGGTCCCCAGCTACATCCATAGTTAAACATTCTGTTGCTAGAACAAAAGAAGTCATGCTCACATCCTAGAACAAAACATTCTGTAGGCAAACCATTCCCTGGGTGGAATCCAATGTTATCTCCTTAAGGGAACTGGAACCTTAGTTGGATCCTTAGACTTTTGTTTGAGGCAGAAACATATCTACTTCTCCTATTTCTGAAATACAAGGCCTGGCTATTAACCTCACCTGTTGACCATAACCTTGGGAGAGCAGAACTCTCTGACCTAAATCTAGGTGGGACCTTTGTTTGAGGTACAAACACAGTAACCTTGAAGGAATAGAGGTAAGTTTCAACTCTCTGACATTTGGTCAGCGCAGATATAGGCTCACATTTTTGGGCCTCCATGTGGGATCGCATGTATAAGATGTGGCAAAGCTCCGTGTTTCAAATCTCATAAGTGGGCCTCAGATTCCAAAGGTCCCCACCCCCTTGCTGGCTTATGACAGACCTGAGGTGCCTTCGTGGTGGGAACTGGGAGGGAGTGTGGGAGAAGAGGCCGGCTTGTTGCCTCTAGCTGTCCTTGACTCCCAACTGTTCCTGGTTTGAGAGATCCAGGCCCCACACCTTACAGTTCCCACTCTGCTCTGAGAGTTGTCCCAGCACCCTCGGGCCACACTTTCTGCCGCACTAGTATGGGGAGGTACCTGTGGGCTACCTCCGCTGTTCTGGTGAAAGTGAAGTTGGGGTACTCCCTGCCAGCCACTGTCCGGATCCCCCATCCACCTCAAGAGCACCAGAGCATACCCTCTGCCATTGAGGCCTCATTTCCCTTGTAAAATAAGGGGTGCAGACTAAGAAAATTCTGCTATGGATACTTTGTGAGTTTTCTAAAGTGTGCTGTGCTGTTTAGGTGTTAGCTCGGGAGAGCATGGCATAGATGACCTCCCTAGGAGAATTGGTTCTGTTAGATGTTGCTGAGAGGCTGTATGGTAAATAGACTTGCTCCTTGGAGGTGAAGGGGTCAGGGGTCTCCTGTCCACACCTCTGAGTCGTTGTGCTTCGGCCATAGGTTTTCGATGCTGGGGACATGTTTGGGATAATGCAAGTGGAGGAGGTGGAGGAGGCTGAGGATGAGGCCGCCAGGGAGGCTCAGAGGAAGCAGCCCAATCCTGGGAGTGAGCTGTGCTACAAGGTCATCGTGACCAGTGAGAACGGCGTCCAGGCTGATGACCCCAACAGGTAGGACTTGAGTCTAGGCATCGGTCTTTTTAAGTTTCTGACTTCGTTTTAGAGAGATTTCACCCAGACTCGTTTTCCCTGTGAGGTGAGTGGCCTATGGTGTTCCCTCAGGCTTTGGAGGTAGTGTCTGAGCCTGTGCTGTTGACAGTCTGCCAGGAACCATGCTTGATGCTCCTGGAAAGCACATCCCTGTAAACTCACTGCAGGGCGCTCTGACTCTTGGTTCTGCTGAGAGCAAGCAAGCCTGGGGGAAGGACTTGCATGAAGTTGTCCAGTCAGCTAAGGATGAACCCAGCTACACCTAACTGAGCCTGGCACAGCTAAGGGCCCTTGTCCCCTCTCCCTGAAGCCTGCTGACACAATCCTGGAAGCTGGAAGACCTAGACCAAGCCTAGTGTTGCCCAGGGCCAAATCTGGAATCAGGACTTCCCATCTTCCAGGGAACCGGGGTGGACCTATGGGCCCCTCTCCCAGAAACTTTGTCTAAACCTTGAGGAAGAGTTTCCTTGGCACCTGTGTTTCCTTGGCATCTGGTGTCTTGTACCAAGCTTTGTCTTCTCCTTCACCAGCCCCCAAGTGAGCTATAGAGACCTCTCCACTGGTGGCAGAATAGCACTCCCCAGGAGCTCAAGCCTCACTCGGCCCAGTGCCGCCCCACACCTCAGCACCCTGGGAAGTAGCTGGGGATGGGCCACCACCCCCACAAACCGTTTGGAACTTGTCTGTTGCTGTGATGAATTATACCCACCAGGTCAGCTGAAGGAGAAAGGGTTTATTCTGCCTCACAGTGTAAGATAAAGTCTGTCATGGGGCTGGGGAAGGGGGCACGGGGCAGGACCCCCCCTAGCAAGAGCTTGAAGCAGTCTCTCATATTATATCTGCAACAGAGAAAAAGAACAACGGATACATTGTTGGTGCTCAGCTGCCTTTCTGCAGTTTGTGAAGTCCAGGATGACCTGCTCAGGGAGTGGTCCCTCCCACAATTAAGACGTGCCTCCCCACATCAATTAGCAAAATCAAGACGGCCTCTCACGGGCACACCCAGAGGCCCATCTCCTGGGTGATTCTGTACTCTGTCAAGTTGACAACTCTGGCCTTCACCGTGCACGAGTGTCTGTTTCAGGTTTCAGCCCCCTCTGCTGTACATTGTCCCTCTGAGTATTACATTTGCCAGGCCCCATTTCTCTGTCCTCAGTACCCCACACCTACCTGGCCATGACTATTGTCACACTTCGTGGTCATTCCCAAATGCACATCTCTGAGCGTGTGGCTCTGTACCACATACTGCATTGTGCAGGAATAAGCCAGCCTTTGAGGATATGCAAACAGACTAGGGGACTAACAGCATACTAATAGATTCCTGAACTTGGTCTCGAACGTGACCTAGAATATTACTGTTCCTTTTGTTTTGTAGGGGAGAGGGGGTCAGGGAGGGGCTGCCTTGTTCATTGGGCACCTGTATATGTGGAGTCCCCTAATCCAGCAAAGCTTGCTGAAGCCAGGATTAGAAAGACAGGCCTGGTCAGGTGGTGGCGGTGCATGCCTTTAATCCCGGAACTTGGGAAGCAGAGGAAGGCAGATTTCTGTGAGATTGAGGCCAGCCTGATCTACAGAGTGAGTTTCAGGGTGACCGGGACTACAGAGAAACCCTGTCTTAAAAAAAGAAAAGAAAAAGAAAGACAGGCTTGGCCTCTCCCGTGGGAAGTTCTTGGGGCCGTTAGGTCCTGGGTACACATGCATGCATGCAGCTTTGTCACCTGCCTGCTGCCACTCCCAGTGGGTAGAGCCTTTGCTTGGGTCGAATGCCTGTCGCTGCTAGATCTGCAGTGAGCAGGGTGGCAGCATGAGCCTTTGCCCTGTGCCTGCAGCCTGGCCCTGACGTTTACCCTAGGGGCTGCAGTGAGCATGACCGCATTTGTTTCATGTGAAACTCATGTTCAGCTGGGGTTGGAAGCAGGGACCTCCCACTGTCCTCCTTTAGAGTTGAGAGGAGGTCTTACTTCTCAGAGCCACACTGAGTGGGTGGCAGAATGGTGGCATTGGGCCAGGGCACCATAACTGAGGTGCCATGGAAAGCAAATCTCAGAAGGGCTGGGTACCAGAGTTTGGGTGTTATCTACTTTCTGCTTCTTTTCCTTCTTCATAGGGGTCACCTAAGGCCATTGGAAAGCACAGAAGTTTACTTTACAATTCATAACAGTAGCAAAATTGCAGTTATGAAGTAGCAATGAAAATAACTTTAGTTGGGGGTCACCACACTATAGCACTAGGTAGCTTGAGAACCACTGATTTAGGGGTTCATGTGTGCCTTGTACCTTCAGCATCTTCCTCATCGACCACGCCTGGACGTGCCGTGTGGAGCATGCGCGGAAACAGCTGCAGCAGATACCCGGACTCTTGCACCGCATGGCGAACCTGATGGGCATCGAGTTCCATGGTGAGGTGCCCAGCCCGGAGGTTGTGGCCCTGGTACTGGAGGAGATGTGGAAGTTCAACCAGACCTATCAGCTGGCCCATGGGGTGAGTCATCTCACTTTCTCCCAGGCCTGGTAGAAGCCCTATTTGGTCCCTGTACCTTTACCAGATGTACGTTACCAATAATAAAGCAAAGCCAAACAGTCAGGTTACAGCCAGGCATGGGGGTACACCCCTTTACTCCCAGTATGTGGAAGGAAGAGGCAGGTGGATCTCTTCGAGTTCAAGGTCAACCTGGTGTAGCTAATTCTAGGCCAACCAGCTACATAGAAGACCTTATTTTAGTACCTGGGACCAACCGAGGCTGGGAACCAAGGTACCTATTCCACCTTTGCACTTAGGGGACACAGGCCTCCCTCTGTCAGACCTCTAAAATTGAATTCTGGTGACTCAGCTGCTCCTTCCAAAATGTTGTACTCCGTGGTTCTCACCACCCTTGATAGGAGAGCAAACCCTTTGACACACCTGCATGCCTTCATCTGCCACCCTGCCACCCTTGCAGGCTCATCCTCTTGGCTCTCCCCACTCAACTTGGAGAAAGCCATGCTTGTTTCTTATGGTCCAGCTCCTTGAGCCTCGCCCCCCTCCCCCAGCATAGCACAGGGGACTCATCCCTGCCATTACTGGCTAGTGCCTTGTTTTCATGGGCCTGAGTCAGTCAATGGGATTGGGGGGAGGGGCCTCCAAGCTCCGAAGTAGGCAAAGGTGAAGAGTGGTTGATGTTGGGTGTGTAGGTGGGTGGACGTGTGGCCGAGGATTGTTGCCTTCTGCCCACAGACAGCTGAAGAAAAAGTCCCAGTATGGTACATCATGGATGAGTTTGGTTCCAGGATCCAACACGCAGATGTGCCGAGCTTTGCCACCGCTCCCTTCTTCTACATGCCCCAGCAGGTGGCCTACACGCTGCTGTGGCCCCTCAGGGACCTAGACACGGGCGGTAAGTCAGGTGCCCACGTACCCCAGAGGATGGGCCTTGGGCGAGCCTCCTGCCACCCCCACTGATGGGCATGCGTGTCTTGGCGCAGAGGAGGTGACCCGGGACTTTGCCTACGGAGAGGCAGACCCTCTGATCCGGAAATGCATGCTGCTGCCCTGGGCCCCTGCCGACATGCTGGACCTCAGCTCCTCTACGCCTGAGCCTCCCGCCGAGTACTATCAGGTGTAGTGTTTGGTGGTTTCTGGAATGTTCTCTATCCGTTCACCAGATGTTAATGTCGGCTGGATTCCAGGCTCCAAACCAGCGACTGTGGGATGAGGGACTCATTTGGGAAACACCTGAGAGATAAGGGACTTGGTGCACGCCAGCTGCCTAAGCCACGCAGTTTGTCATCCGTCCTGATCTCAATCCCGGGTAGCCTGGGTTTGGGATGGGGTAGCCTGTGCAGCTAGACCTGGCTGTACATGCCACTCTGTCCCTCCTCTTCTCATGATGTTCCTTGATGTCCATGGGGTTGGGTTGCGGGACCACACAGATGCTAAAATCAGTGGGTGCTCAGGTTCGTCACATAGAACTGCCACCGCTTCCCCCAGTGTCCGTCCTTCTCTGGATTGTTTGTAATTCTCGGTATAGTAGTGGTGCTCTGTGGACAGTCGTGTGGTTTGGGAATGACGACACACAAAGATGTTTGCACACATTCTCTACAGAGGACTTTTTCCCCCAGAAAACACTTCTGACCTACTGTTAGCTGAATCTGACGTCGTGGGGCCCATGGGTTCAGAGGGCCGACGGGATTGTAGTACATTTCACAACACAGCAGGCCCTCAAGGAGTCCTGAGCAACCTACTGTAAGTTAGGACCCTGTGGGTTCACTCAGAAATGCCCGGCTGCCGAGCACTAGTGCACACCTAATCCCAGCACTCAGGAGGCAGAGCCAGGCAGATGTGTATGAGTTCGAGGCCAGCCTGGTCTACGGAACTAGTTTCAGGAGAACTAGAACGGTTATACAGAGAAACCCTGTCTGGGGGAGGGGGGGAGTGGTGCCCGTCTGTGAAGAGTCCATGCAGAGGCACAATACCAATCAGGAACACAGTCCCTAGCAGCCGGAGAGGTAGCCTAGTGGTTAGAAAGCACTGGCCGCTACTGCGGAGAACCTGTGTTCGCTTCCCAGTGCCCCGGTCAGGCAGTTTCAGGTTCCATGAAATCTAACACCCTTCTCTCACCTCTATGGACACTGCACACATACGATGCACGAATACACGCACTAGTAAATATACTCAGTACACATGAAATAATATAAAAAAATCTAACTGGAGGATGGGGCTGAAACTCTTCCCTTGTCCTCAGATCTTTCCGCACAGGAGCTGTGCCTAGTGTTCATGATTCTGCTGATGGTAAACATGCTGCGGTGGGGAGAGTTAGGCGTCCGAAGCCAGGGAACCACAGAGACTCAGCAGGGCCAAAAACCTTACCCTATGTATTTGAGACTACTCTGGCATGCAGAAATCTGATACCACTGAGTCTCGGGCGATTGTGGAAGCACATTAACTCGGGTTGTAATGGAAGTTCTGCAAGTTGCTGATTGGCAAGGGCAGATTGTAATCGTGGTCTGGTGACACCTTGCTGAACCCAGCAAGGCAGAGCAGGAGGTGCCGTACCGTGCTGGGGGTTCAGAGTTAGGCTCGCAGCCTCCTCAGTGTTCGTAGTATTTAGTCGGGGTTTGGTGAATATGGAATTGGGTGCTGTAAGTGAGGTTTAAGGGTGACTAGGGAAGGTCCCACTAGCCTCCAGCAGTCTCTCAGAGAGCCATGAAGAATTGGCACTTTCCTTGGAAAGCTGCTGCAGGCTGAAAAAGAGGACCAGGAGGCCAGACTTCTCACCTGAAACCTTGCATAGGACCATGGGTCCAGGCTGGGATCTGACTCTGAAGTAACCTGTGTTGGTAACAAATGACTCAACAGCTTAGGACAGCAAATATTTACTGCCTCCCACAGTTTCTGGGGGACAGGAACTGGTGACAGTGTTCAACAAGTGCTTTGGTTCAGAGTTTCCTGGGCATACAGACTGTCCCCCCAAAGCTGAAGAGTCTGAGCCTTCCTGGAGCTGAGACGTTAGTATGTGGAGGTCAGACTTGGTGAGTCAGGCTGGCCGTCCCAGGCATCAGTCACTCCACATAGGTGCCTCTCTGTGGGCTTCTGAGTGTCCCGGAGGCATGGCAGCTATCTTGTCTTCAAGGAAGTGATCTAGGAGCAAGAAGGAGGGAGTTGAGGGTCCTTTGTCCTGGACTCAAGGACTCAAGTCACTTTGTCCCTGCTACCCAGTACAAATAGCTCCTTGTGTCCTGGGAAAGACTGGGCTCTGCTTTACAAGGGAGTGTCAGAGTCTGCGGACCTGTTTTAAACTGTTAGCCACCCTGGTCCAGGAACAGCCCTCAGGGCTCCTCTCAGACTGAACAGCCCCTCCCTACACAGGTTTGGCACCTCTCAGCACCTGAGTCTGGAACATGGCATGGAGAAAGAGAACAATGTGTTGTTCTTTGCCTATCCTGGACTCTTGGGGACCTGGGAGGCCTGAGTCTAGAGCCTCACGTCAGGTAGCCCTGGGCTGCCACTGAGAGAGTTGAGGATGTGAAGGGTGTTGGGAAAGCCCGTGGTCATTTGCTCTCTTCATTGAGGTCTGTTTCTGCCTCTGATCCTAGGCCGTCTTGGAGGAAAACAAGGAGAAACTGCCACTCGCCATTAGCCCAGTGGCACGTCCCCAGGGCCACGTCTTCAGGTACATACATAACCCTCATTCTCTGCCCTCACTGAGACTTATCTTCAGTTATTGCCGTTGCCGGGTTCCAGAACATGTCAGTGGCCCGGGCAGGCCTTGGAATCCAGGCATGTTGGCGATAATGCCAGTTATGGAGTTCTTAGAACCACTGAGGAAAGTAGAGGGCGGGCGGGGTTGCCTGGAGAAGGCAACTATTGAACTTGCCCTGGGAAATGAGAAAAAGCCAAACACAGTGGCACATTCCTATAATCTCAACATGAGAGATGAAGGCAGGAGGATTACCACAAGTTCTTGGCTATCCTGGGCTACAGAGTAAGACCCAACTCAAAAAAACGATAATGGTTGCCAGACAGTGGTGGAGCACACCTTTAATCCCAGCACTCTGGCAGAGGCAGGCGGATCTCTGAGTTGGAGGCCAGTCTGGTCTACCGAGCAAGTTCCAGGACAGCTAGGGCTACACAGAGAAACCCTGTCTCAAAAGATTGAAAAAAAAAAAAAAGAAAAGAAAAAAACACCTGTACTTTAGGAGATTCTGTCCAAGGAGTTGAGGGTACAGACAGTGACAGGGAAAAGACAGCTGTACTTCACGCTACAGGGCCTGGGTACAGAGCCACACCCTCCTAGTGCTGAGCAGGGCCTCTGCCTTCCTAGGAGCCCTCTCTACAGCCCCCAGGTACTAGATCCATGGCTGCTGAAACTTGATTCATCTAGAATAGGGCTGTGTGCACCATTCTGTCTGATTCTAGGGATGGCCTCTCTCTACTGGGTCCTCCTGCTCTTGCCTGAAGCCAGAGAGAGAGCCCTAGCATTTACACGGGGGTGTCCTGAGACACAGATCTGACTGTGAACCCTCTGGAATGGACTAGATGGGACCCAGGCAGAGCCTTCTTGCAGCCTTGTTTCACACTCGCTCTCCTGACTCAGGCGGGTTACCTGCCTGGTGCCAGCCATTCCAGCAGACCAGTGCCTCACTGTGAGTCCTCCCACTGCAGCGTCCTCCCCGAGCTGCCACTTACCTCACCCTAGTGCCCTGTGTCCCCTTTGCCTTCACACTCTGTTCCTTTGGAAATAGTTACCTCCAGGCCCCGTCCTCGCTTCTGTCCTGGGTTTGAAGTATGACGTAAGACCTGTCCCAGGACACTTGTCTTGACGGCACACCCACAGGAGGCCTGCAGATTCAGGAGCGCCCTCTGGGGACACCAACACTCCTCACAGATAACGGGGACTGGGAGGTTGGTGGTGTCTACCTAATGGCAGTGACTGGGGTGTTTCCAGGTTTTTAGTCTTTTTTTTTTAATTTTGAAGATTGATTTATTATGTATACAGTGTTCTGTCTGCATGTGTGCCTGCAGGCCAGAAGACGGCATTAGGTCCCATTACAGATGATTGTGAGCCACCATGTGGTTGCTGGGAATTAAACTCAGAACCTCTGGAAAAACAGCCTCTGAGCCATCTCTCCAGCCCGGCTTTTATTCTTACTCAAGAATGAAGTAAAAGGGCCAGCAAGATGACTTGGCCGGTAAAGGAACCTGCCACCATGCCTGACAACCTAAATTCCATTCCACGTGGCAGAGGGGGAGAACCAACTCCCTACCACAGGTTATCTTCTGGCCTCTGCACACACACACAAACATACACAAATAATATACAGATTATAGAGTAGCAAGGAAATTTATTCAAAACAAAGTGGTAAGTAGAGATTAGAAAGGAACCCACTGTCAAGACTGATAGAGTGGGCCACAGACTGAGGGTACCCACAGTCCCAGTTATTGTTTCCTTGTGTAGGGTTCAAGAGAAAGTTAGTTTCTATAGGTGTAACTTGGGTAGTTCTACCTTTTTTCTGTTTTGTTTGTTTTTTTGGTGTTCTTGTTTTTTGTTTCGAGACAGGTTTTCTCTGTTTATCCCTGGCTGTCCTGGAACTCAATTTGTAAACCAGACTGGCCTTGAACTTAGAGATCCGCCTGCCTCTGAGTGCTGTGATTAGTGACATGCGCCACTGCCGACTTCTCCATTCTGACTAAGAGGCTTAGATTACTCTTTATTCGCTGTGTATGTCCATTCCCGTAATGCATCCAACCTTGATTTACATGTTGCCAATTATACATGAGCATACAGTGGTAAATAGAAGAGTCTCCCTAAAAGTTGACGATAGTTCCGGCTTATTGGCTATGCACCCTAAGCCCATTCAGGCCAGATTGACCCTCCTCCCAGGCTGTATTTCTGAATAGAAACTGTCCAAGTTTAGTGACATAACAGGGAGGAGAAATTTGCTCCATTGTCTGCTGTTAAGAGTGGGAGAGTACAGCCCAACCCAGTCGTGAGTCCCAGGATGCTAAGCTGTACCTATGCTGGCCTGTCTCACATCCATCCTGTTTTTCTAAGAAACCAGCATCTACAGAACACCTAACCTATCCTGTTGTCTTGACGGCTCTCATCCTCTATGGGGAGCCTGGGATTGTCAGTGTCTTTCTACACCAGGAATTCCCAGGGACTTGCTGACACAGAGCCAGGATGAGCAGGAGCTCCTGCCTGTCGGGCCACTGCTCACTCGAGCCTCTCCACAGGGTCCACTCGGATATGCAGCAGGTGCTCTGCCACCTCACCCACCCACGTTTCACTTTTACTGAAAGCGAGGCTGACGCCGACATCCTCTACCACTTCTCACACTTCAAGGACTACAGGTGGGTACCTGGCAGCCAGCAGGGCCTCATACCCAGTATCTCTGACTACCTGCCACTTTCCCCGGGACCTCAAGCCTTGCTCTATACAACTCACACCCCTCTCGGGGATGCTGAGCTGACCTCTGTGATGCCCATACCCACCACCACCCACAGGACTCTCAGCCAGGAGAGGCCACAGGTGCTACTCAACCAGTTCCCCTGTGAGAACCTGCTGACCGTAAAGGACTGCCTGGCCTCCATCGCTCGCCGGGCCGGGGGTCCTGAGGGTCCCCCTTGGCTGCCCCGAACCTTCAACCTGCGCACTGAGCTGCCCCAGTTTGTCAGCTATTTTCAGCACCGGGAGAGGCGGTAAGTCCCCTAGACTCAAGGCAGGGCGGACACTCCTGAGCACTTCTGTTATGATGCTGCAGTTCTGCCCAGCCTTACCCCACGCCCAGCCTCTCCTTAGCTGAACACCTACCAGCTTTCTCATTGCTTCTGTGGGGGTGGGGAGTGCAGCTTCCATACTGTATTATTCCTTAGCTTCCAGCAAACTCCTGCTGGTTACCCCAGTGCTCTGTGACACAGGGTTTCCTAAAAAACATTAGCTCACCAGTCTGCCTCTAGGTCCATGAGACACATTGTCTAAAAGGCAGGTATGGCTCAGCTAATGCCTTCCCCCAGGGGTGAAGACAACCACTGGATCTGCAAGCCCTGGAACCTGGCCCGCAGCCTGGACACTCACGTCACCAACAACCTCCACAGCATCATCCGGCACCGAGAGAGCACTCCCAAGGTGGGCTTACAGCTTCCCCCACTTGGCTGTGACTCAGGGCCTCTCGGCTTGTGGGGACCAGAGCACACCATGGCAGCACATGAGCTGATCACTCGTGGAGCCCTCAGGTCTATGGTAGTGCTCCTATAGGTGGCCATCCAGTGGCTGTGTGCAAGAACTGCCTCAGATACAAGTTTCTCATGGCACAGACTGGGAGAAAGTGGGCTTTGAGGACTGAGTCATTGTAGCAACTTGAGACAGCAAGTGGGAGTGGATGGGATTATTGGTGAGAATTCCTCCATCTAAAACCTGGAAACCAGGGCTAAGGAGATGGCTCAGTGGGTAAAGGAAGTGCAAGCATGAGAACCAGAGTTGAGTTCCTAGAATTCATGGGGGTGGGGGGAGTGTCGAAAAAAGTCAGGCTTGGTCAGTCTAGCCTGCTTGTTACACTCCAGGCCAGAAAGAGACCCCTGTCTTTAAAAAGAAAAAAAAAATCAACATGGATAGCATCCAAGGAGTGGTGACCAAGGTTGGACTCTCATGCACACACGAAGGCTGAAACTTGATGGGATTTTTTTTTTCCTTTAAATAGAAAGGTAGGAATCAGAGAGACGGATCAGTGGTTAAAAACACCTGCTACTCTTGCAGAAGACCCAGGTTCTGTTCCCAGAACATAGTGGCTCACAGCTGTCTGCAACACCAATTCAGGTCATCCAACACTCTGTTCTGGCCCCTGGATGCTGCATGCATGTGGTACACATACATACGTGCAGACACACACTCTTACACATAAATAAATCTTTTTAAAGTATGAAATAGTGATGAACATAAGGAATTTGCTGTGCGTGCCTTTGCTAGAGTTTGAAAATACAGGAGTAGGGGGCAGCTGTAGATGGCTGTGATGACCTTATGTGCAGCCCTGTGGGCACAGGTGAAGGAGACTCCCCCATCTTGGGGCTCAGGGCGCAGGCTCAGCACCTCCCAGGTTCTCTATCCTGCCCATGTGAGGTGAACTACTGGTGAGCAAGTCCACATCTGTCCCCAGGTTGTGTCCAAGTACATTGAAAGCCCCGTCTTGTTCCTTCGAGACGATGTGGGGAATGTCAAGTTTGACATCCGCTACGTTGTGCTGCTGCGCTCCGTGAGGCCGCTGAGCTTGTTCGTGTACAACGTGTTCTGGCTGCGTTTCTCCAATAGGTAGGTGTGCAGGCAGGGCGGGGAAGGGGCTGGCAAAGAAACTCCTTCACTGTGGCGCCTGAAAGCTCACCCCGGACTCCATCCACCCCAGCACGCAGCCCACAGCTTCCAGGTGTTCAGTGACATCATTACTATAATGAATGTGACACTTCTGTGAGCTGGATGTTAACCCAGAGTCATAACAATGAATTGAGGCTTGCAGAGAATCTCCAGCACATTTACTGGTCCTGACTCCAGTGTGGACTGAGGGGCTGTCCCAACCCATAGACAAGGGGAGCATTGTACCCCAGCCCCAGCCAGCTGTGTGTGGCTGCTCTCCATGGAACTTGGGAGCCCATCCTTACCTGTCCACTTGTTTCAGGCCGTTTGCACTCAATGACCTAGATGATTATGAGAAGCATTTCACCGTCATGAACTATGACCCGGATGTGGCGCTGAAGCAGGTAGGGTCTGGTGGGGCCCAAGAGCAAGTAGGTTCTCCAGTCACAGTCCTGTCCTGTGTCCTCCCAGGAAGTCTTTTCCTGGTGCTAAAGAGAACCTAGTGTTGAAGGTGTAGGAACCCAGTTGAGGTCTCCATAGGGCTCACTGCCACACAGTGGGCACTGTGGGGTCGCAATGTCATCTGCATGCCAGGGCTAAAGGCATTGGGGCAGACAGAGCAGGCCAGTTATTTATTTTTTGGCTTTTTTTTTTCGGGGGAGGGGGTTCCTCATGTAGCCCAGGGTGGCCTTGAACTTGCAGTTGCTGTGCCTCAACTTCGCATGTGAATCCTGGGTGCAGAGGCAGTGATTCCCACAGCAAACAGCTCTCAGAGGTGCCTCTCTGCCCTGCCCCAGCATCTTCTAAGTGGGTTTGTGAGAAAGCAGCTGCCACAGCAGAGTGCTGACTCAGACCCTAAGTGGCCCTGTAGCTTCTCCTCTCTCTTACCTTTGATTGGGTTGAAAGCCAGGACCCAGATTGCCCATCAAGGCCCTTGTCGTTGTTGGAAACCAGCCCTGAGGACACTGGGCCCTTTTCATCTGCCCTGTGATTGTGTTACCTGAGAAGCCCTTTGTGCAGGAACTCAGGTCCCGTGGGGCACGCACACAGGGCCTCTGCAGGGACCCGTGCTGGCTCATCCTTCAAGAGAAATCTAAGCCACTTCACTCAGGTGTTTGGGGTAAATTTTTGGTCTAGAGATCTTGTCCTAGGAGGCTTCAGAAGAGGGGGCCTTGCATAGTGGGGCTGGGCTCTGCTGTCAGTGGACTAAGCTGAGCTGGGTATGAGAGCCATGCCTGAGCCCTTGACCCTCTGTTCCTCGCTGGAGCCTTGCAGCAGCCCTGCTTACAAAGTCAGTGAACTGAGCAGAGAGTCCTAGCCTTCCTTCTCATGGAAGAGGAACCGGAGGCTCAGAGTGGACTTCTGCCTGCTTGGAATCTCACCTTGACCTCCTGTCCTGTGGGGCTGTTGTCCTGCTTCAGTCTAGGGACAGCTGCTGCCACCGTAACTGTTTCTCATGTTTCAGGTGCACTATGATGAGTTCATCCCCCAGTTCGAAAAGCAGTACCCAGAGTTTCCCTGGAGTGGTGTCCAGGTGAGTCTTGGGCTCTGCCAAGCCGGGGCTATGGAAACCACTCTTCCCTGGCTGGGCTAAGACCACCCCACCCACCCCCGCCGCACCCTCGGCCTGTGTGTAGTGCTTCTGAGGGCTCTTCGGATATTCCTCAACAGGAGGGAGGGAATTTGGGGCACCCTGACGTAGCCTGGGAGCAATGGTCTCCATCAGTCCCAAAAATCCATGCCCTTGGGGCCACAGGGTGTGTGTGTGGGGGGGGGGGGGTAATCATAAAACAGGAAACCCAACAATTGTACTGGAAGTAGATCCTGCACTAAGGCGTGGCATGGTGGTGAGTGCTTGCCTAGAATGCGTGAAGCTCTGGACTCCTTCTTTCCTGCAAAACAGAAACGGACTCCTGGAGTGTGGGAACAGGCAGACATGGCCGTCTCGCCAAGCTAGGAATGTAGATGGGGTAACCTGGATGACAGGGCTCAGGCAAAGGTGGTCTTGTTAGTCCAGAGTCAGGGTTGAGTCCACCCTGTGATGGAGCGTTCCTTGTCTCCAGGCTGAGATCTTCAAGGCCTTCACAGAGCTGTTCCAAGTGGCATGTGCCAAGCCACCACCCATGGGCCTCTGCGACTACCCCTCATCTCGGGCTGTGTACGCTGTTGACCTCATGCTCAAGTGGAATAGCCATCCAGATGGTAAGGGGACTCTCCACACCAAAACCCTCCACCCAGTACCCCTATGCCCAGCCCTGCTGGCAGTGCCCAGGACAGCCCTTGGCTATCTTTTGGTTTTATGTGTTTGAAAGTTCTGCACGCACAAGCATACAGGTGCATGAGTGTTTCTGTGTGTGTGTACAAGTGTATGTATGTGAACTGTATGCATGCCTGGTATCCCCAGGGGTCAGGACACAGGACCCCTAGTGTATGTATGTGTGTACATGTATACTGTGAGCATGCCTGGTATCCCCAGGGGTCAGAGGACACAGGACCCCTGGAGTGTGTGAGTCTGTGTGTACTGTGTATACTGTGGGCATGTCTGGTATCCCCAGGGGTCAGAGGACACAGGACCCCTAGAACAGGCGTTAAGAATGTTTGTAAGCTACCGTGTGGATTCTAGAAACTGAATCCAGGTGCAAAAACATCAAGTGCTCTTAACTGCTAAGCCATCTCTCCAGTCCCACGACTTTCGTTTCACAGAGAAATTTCCCTAGTGGTCCAGCTTAGGTGTCCTGGCCAGATCCACTGAGAAAGAGAACACATGTGCATCAGAGTGCAGGGGGAAGGTGACAGGATGCATGCTGCTCCTCTGACCAGACTGGTCATCGAAGCGTAAAGCAATGTGCCCTCATTGCCCTAAGGGAAATGAGGTTAGGGGTAGCTCCGGTCTTTATTTGGGGAACAGATATTAAGCCAGGGAATCCGTGTTCTAAATCACACGCTGTACCCCCACACTGGGAATCGGGGCCTCAGTCTGTGCCCCGCATCACAGTCCCCGTCCCCCAGTTCTTCCGAGACAGATGTGTACCCTGACCTCGTTGCCGTCACAGTCTACCTACCTCTTAGTTTTGCCACCAGGAAAGCGGGTGATGCAGCCCCAGATCCTGGAGGTGAACTTCAACCCCGACTGCGAGCGAGCCTGCAGATACCACCCCACATTCTTCAACGATGTCTTCAGCACCCTATTTCTGGATGAGACCGACAACTGTCCTGTCACCCGCATCATCTAGATGCCCAGAGCCCTCCTGTGCTCACAGCCGATTCCAGCCCCGGCTCATGGAACTGCTTCTGCAGTCCCGGCCTTCTGCCTCTTCCTCCCTCCCCATCCCCAGTCAGAGCCTTGGCTTAGGTTCTGCCCTCCTGATCCATGTTCCTGCTTCATATGTGGGACATCAGGTCCACACCATGTGGCAGAGCTGGACAGTAAGAGGTGTCCCTAGGACTGGATGCTGCCCCTGGCCCTCTTCACACCTCCTGACACCCCTCTGTCCTCTGGTGAGCCTCCAGCTCAGCCAAGGACTTTACTCCTAGCATCCAGAGTTTTCGTACAGAGGGAGAGGTGTTCCACAGAAACAGGGTTCCACAGGGAAGTGTTTGGGAACCTCGTGTCCAGCAGGGCCAGGGAGTTCTCTGCCCTCTTTTTTCATGGCTGCTGTAAGCAGGGTGTCAGCACCCTGTGTTGTACCCACAGGCCCCAGAACAGCCGGGGGAAAATACTTGCCAACCCAGCCTTAGGCCTAGGCCTCCTCCACCAGAGCCTTCACCAGCAGACTTCTTGGTGTTTCCCTTCCTGGGAAGCTGGACTATTAAGAATCCCATGCTGTCAGGCATTGGTAGCCCACGCCTTTAATCCCAGCATTCAGGAGGCAGAGGCAGGTAGATCTCTTGAGTTCAAGGCCAGCCTGATCTATAGAGCAAGTTCCAGGACAGCTACAGAGAAACCCTGTCTCAAAAACAAAACAAAACAAAGTCCCGTGCTGGCGTCTCACTGAGTTATACTGTCCTCTGAAGTGAGGCTCCATGGCAGAGTGCAGGCTGGGAGGCAATGGGAATGCCAAGGCTGCTGAGATGGCTCTGGGGAGAACTTCATGTGGAAGTCAGGCTGCCTCTTGCCAAAGCCTCGAGACAAAATGTTGAGGTTTTTGTATGTGTGTGTGTGTGTGTGTGTGTGTGTGTGTGTGTGTGTGTGTGTGT